GCTGCTCCGCGTTGCCATGGTTCCGCGCGGGCCGGGCACCCCTTGCCCTGGGCAGCTCTCCACCCTCCCTGGCCCCAGTCCGGGGCGGGCTCACCTTTGAAGTAGTCGTTGGCTTGCGTCTTGAGCTCCTCGGCCCGCTTCAGAGCGCCATCAGCCGGGGGCTCGTCTCGGGGGGGCTCAGCACACTCAGTCCGCTCGCCCTCCGCCATCGCCATGCCGCAAAGCGACCCCCACCCTGGCAACGGCCGCCAGCGGCACCCGGCCGAATCGTCGCGAAGGAGTGCCGAGTTGCTGCTGCCGCTGCTGCACAAGTGTCGTAAAGCGCGGGCCCCAAAGGCGCCCTTGGCGCGCCTGCGCAGGGTCCTTTCGCCATAGAGCGCGCGGAGGACAAGGTGACCAGGGGGCCCCCAGACAGCGCCCTTCCTAGAACGAGCCAATGGGGAGGGCGAAAGGGGGCGCGCGGGGCGAGGGGTGAGGGGGTGGAGAGGAGGTTCTGGCCTGGCCCCCCGCTCTCAAAGTTACGGTATTCCAAGGCTGCAGAAGTTGGGGAGGTGCAGATGGGTTTCACGGTGCGGTGGAGAGGGGTTTCACGGTGGGGTTTCCCCGCGGTCTTCTCGGGTGAATGGGTGGGTGTGGCTGCAGGGCAGCCCCGTGCCCAACGCATAACTAGAGCCCGGGAGACTAGCCTTCGTGCCAATTATTTGTGTGACCTTGAGCAATTAGGGGCAGTTACCACCCCCCTCTGAAAAATGCGTGGTTTCTCAAACCAAGAGATTAAAGTTCCAGCCTTGAGGTGCTTCTGGCTGTTAACTGAAGGCGCCCTGGATCCCCTAGTCCTTGAGCAAGGCGGAGAAGTTTGTTACGCCCTCTCCTTTCTTCACCCTTCATCCCCCAGTCCCCAGCCTGCCAAGGTGCCTCAGTGCCCTTAGAAAAACACCTGAACTCTTTCTAATGACCTGCGAAACCCTGAATGGTATAGCCTCAGCCAACATGTCCAGATGCCCAACATGTCCCACCCCCCACCACCACCCCTACCTACCACCCACCGCCCACTGTACAGCATCGCAGGCCATCCTTTCCAAACCCTCAGCTGCTACTCCTGTGGGACTGTAGCACTAAATCCTTTAAGAACCTGCTGTGGCTCCCCTCACGGAAGCTCGAGCTATCCCACTCCCCAGTCTCATCTGGGCAGCCTGATCCCACCACCTCCTGTCACAGCCAACAGTCAGCCTAGAAGGTAGAGACCAATATCAGCTCCATTTCACCACTGAGGACACTGAGATTTGTAGAGGTCAACAAACTTGACCAAGGTCATACAGTGAGAGTGGCAGAGCCAGGATTTCACCTTGTCCCACCTGATTCTGTGCTCTTAAGTCCTACTCTACTGTCTCTACACTCCATAGCCCACCCTGTGGGTTAGATTTTTGAGATTTTTAGGGGTGTGTATGTAATGGATTTGAATCCCAGATTTGAATCCAGCTCAGTCCTTCCCTGCTGTGTGACCTTGGCAAGGATCATCCTCTCTGAACCTCAGTTTCCTCCTCTCTAAAATGGGTACAATAACTGCCTATTATAGATGATTAGAGGAAGGTTTGATAAGATCATAAGAATAAAGTGTTTGGCAGAGGGCCTGACACAGAGTAAGTACTTTTTAAATACCCAGAGTGCGACTGAGTGCCTGGAGCTTCAAGGCGAGGGGCTCACTCTGCTGGGTGGGCAGGGAAGGTTTCCTGGAGAGGGGGGGGGATATCTGAACCAAGATCTAAAGTATGAGTGGATGATGACCAAGTGAGAAGGAGGAAGGGAGAAAGGCACTGAAGGCAAGGGAACAGTGTCAAGGCTTGACAGTGTTTTCTTTTTTTTAAAAGATTCCTACATGACGGTGTGCAGGGCTGAGCCCATACAGCATGTGGCTCTTGACCTTGGGGTCATGAGTTCAAGCCCCACATTGGGCACAGAGATTACTTAAAAATAAGAAAAATAACAACACAAAAAGATTCCTACATGGAACATAAGAGGGGTTATAAGAGTGATCTTGAGACAGGACGTAACAGGCATACCCATCTACACATGAATCTGTAGACACACAATCTTACACACACACAAGTACAGGGAACATGTCACATAGTTATCAGTACAGAATGATAGTGTCAAAACAGTCCCATATGTGTAAGGATAATTGCGACACCACAAACCTCCCATACTCAGGAACACAGAAACCCAAAGTCACCAGAAACACACATAAAGCAGAATCATTCCACTTGGAGGATACTAACAACGTACAGGTAGACGGAATTAAAACTCCCCACCCCCACCGGTTCATAGAATTATATCACAAAGACACTTACGTAGAATTACATCACCAGACCCACAATGTTATGTAGACCCACGCAGGAACACAGAGTCACGCGTACACACAGAATCACCGCCACACAGGACAGCCAGGGTACCCACACACCCTGAAGCGACCCCACAGATGAGTCAACACACAGAGTTCTGGTGCCTACCAAGGCGAGGTCTTTATGGTGGTGTAGAGATTAATGGGTTTCAGAGCCAGAGTGGCTGGTCCAGTCCCTTTCCCTTCCCAACCCAGCCCAGCTCCCTCCATTGAGGGCCCAGGTCACCCCCTGAGGGAAGGAGGGACCTGACCCTTCTTCCCCATAGCACCAATCTGGATAGGCCATCCCATGACAAGAGAGAGTGAGAAGTGCCTTCCAAAAAGGGGATGAATTGGGCTGGGGGCGGGGGGGGGGCGCTTTTCGTGTGGGAGACCCAAGAGTAGCACCATTGTAGAAACAGGGTTGGAGGGTAAGAGCGACACACAGGTGGTGGCAGGAGTTCTGAGGAGTCCTGGCCTCTCTCCCCACCTGTGATATGCAGATAGGGCTGTGTGTGTGTCTGTGCGGCTGGGGAAGTCTCCCGGATTTTAAGGGAGATCCAGGTCCCCCAGGTACCTGGGGTAAAGTAAAGGTAAGTGCATCCCTTGAGAGCTGAGGGCGGGGAGGAGGGGGATTCCAATACAGTGAAACTGTAGGGATAGCGAGACTTGACATGAGGTCTACTAGCGAGGGACCTGGAATGGGAAGACTACAGATAGAGGAGGAACTGGGGCGAGCTGAGTAGTGTAGGAAGCCCAGAATAAAGTTAGGATGGGGTCTGGAATCAGAAAGTCAAGGGTCATAAGATTCTGAACCAGAGGAATCCACAGGGTGACATCCAGATTCTAGAATCAGAAGTACCTGGAGGCTGAGTTCTTGGACCAAAAGAATTTGGATCTGAAATCAGAGACAGTTGGAGGCTGTGAGGCCTAGAATCAGAGGAATTTATAGAATAAGAATAGAATTTGAAAAACTGTAAGGACTGAGTTCTAGAACCAGAGAGATTTTGGGAGTCACAAGACCTAAAATCAGGAGCTGGGCATTGTAGGGTTGAGAACCAGAAAAATTTGTAAAGGCAAGCTCGATAATCAGAAGTCTGAATGCTGAGTTCTAAATCTAGAGTAATTTGGAGTCATAAGATCTGGAGAGCAAACTGGAGATTGTGAGGTCTAGAACCAAGGGAATTGATAGGGTAAGTTCTGGAATAGGAAGACTTCTGAAGCCAAGTTCAAGAATCAGAAATAAGATCAGCAGATCGGAAATCAGAGGGTCCTGGGAACTGCAAGTTCTAAAGGCTGTGTGGTCTCGAACCAGTGGACGGTGGAGGTCACGAGGTCTAGAGCAGAAGAGACCTAGAGCACGGAGTCTGGCCTGAAAGTACTATAATAGTTAGAAGATCTACATACCACTCACTTTACTTCTTTTTGATGGGAAAAACAAGTCTTGAGGGTAAAAGTTGAAAAGGAAGGAGCTGGGCATTGTGACACATACCACCAAAACAATTCAGAAGTTAGGAAGTCTGGATTTGGAGCCAGGTGTATTCCAGATCAGGAAGACTAGACCCAATACGAAGCCTGGGTTTTGGGGTCCAGAGTCAGAGGCAGTTGCTGGTTGTCAGAGCTGGAATCAGCAGGAGTCAGAGCATGTGACATCTGGTACAAGGGAGACTTATTTACAGAGAAAGGTCTAGAACCAGAGGAAGTCAGAGTGAGTGCTAGAACCAGAGGGCTCCGGTGGGGGTCAGCTCTGAAGCCGTGAGACCTAGAACCAGACAACTTGGGAGACCATGGAGGTACAAAAAGAGACAGCACTGGAGGTGGGGAGGTCCCGAACAAGAAAGAGCTGGACGTTGTGAGGTCTGGAATCAGGTTTGGAGGATGTGTTGGGAGAGGGGCAGGCTAGAAGAGCAGGTCAGAAGTTGTGTGGTCTAGAACCGCAGAGAGCAGGAGGTTGCCTGGTCTGGGAGCAGAGGAAGCTGGAGGCTACCCCCGGAAATGAAACCAGTGTCCAGGCAAGGCTGGGGCAGCAAAAGTCCCCATCGGAGGGGCAGGCAGAGAGGGTTGGCCACTTGGAAGGCTAAGAGACTGGTAAGAAGTTGCTAGAGGTGAGGTCTGCCCCTGAGCTCCCCCCACCACCACACTGACACCTGAGGGAGGAGGGGAGATCAGAGTCCTGCATTCTTATGGACCCCAGGCCATTCATAGTGATTCAAAACCTATCATGAAATCAACAAAAAGAAAAATAATAAAAGATGGATGGAAAAGAAATGTGACTATGGTTATCAATACTCCCCAGAGCCCAGAAACACAGATCTGAACCCCAATGTCCCCCATCCCGAGTCACCCAAAAATCAAGCCAGGAGAGTCGGAGAAAGGGATGAGGTTACCAGTATTGAGAACCCCAAGGGAAGTCCTGAGAGAAGGAGGAGGGCTCCAGGGGCCCCCTCCCAGAGGTCACTGAGCTGAGACCACCCCAAAGTCCCCAGACATGGGGGGCAGAGGGGCTAGGGCTGAGGTAGGCCCAAGGTGGGCAGGGGCCACTGAGAGGAGAAAGGGAACCCCTCTCCTGGTACCCCCATCCTGTGCATTGGCTGCCGGCGTGGAGTGTGGTTGAGGTCCTTTCTGGGGAGTAGAAGGGAGAGGGGCTGGCTCAGTTGGCCTGGGCCAAGCCTGCTGCTGGCTGGAAGTGGCTCCTGGGCTCGGCTGTGTCCTCATCCGGGTAGAGAGAGAGCAGCGAGGGGCCCAGGCCTGTGGGGGGAAGACAGAAGATCAACCAGGGGGGAATTACTACCCACCCAAACCCATCTTCCCCTCCTGACCGTTAAAAGTGTGGGTGATAAGACAGGCATGCCTGGATTCAGATCATAGTAAAATCTTGGGCAAGTTCTATTCTCTGAACCTCAAGGTGCTCAGGATGTTTAAGGCAGTAGTTACAAAGGCTGGAGCCAGATGCGGCCTGAGTTTGAATCCAGGCTCTGCTCTTTACTTGCTGTGTGATCTGAGGCAGGTGACTTCCCCCTCTCTGTGCCTGGGCTACCTCATATGTAAAAGGAGCCAAAAATACTTCCTTTCCAGGGCTGCTGTGGGAAGGAAATGAATGAATCCACGTAGAGTGCTTTGAACAATAGTATTGGTGAGCGCTCAGCAAGTGAGCTCTTGCTATTTACCCAGGAAACAGGGAGACCTAGACCTACCCCACTCGTGAGAATTTACCCAGTCAGAAAATACGGAGCACCTGCTGTGTGCCAGGCACAGGGGCCACAGCAGTTAACAGGACAGACAAAATTCCCTGCCCTGGGTTCCAGGGAGGGGCATCAGTTCTGTCATGTACACGGTAGGTTTTGCACGAAACCTGGCACAGAGTGAGTGCTAAATAAATATTAGCTCTTCCTTTACAAATATGTACTGAGCCCCTGCTCTGTGCCCAGCCACTGCCCTGCCTCCCAGAGACAGGAGAGTAGGGCCATGACAAGACAAGCCTGGCCCCTGCCCTCACATAGCTCACACCCACAGGGAGAGGACAGCCAAAAATCAAATAATGACATCAACACCCACATAAATATGTTCTAGGATGAGTGTTATGAGCCATGAACTTAGGAAGTGAGGGAGAGCTTCGTGGAAGGGGTAATATTTGATCTGAGATCTAAAGGATGCTTTAATTAATTAAGCAAAGAATAGGAGGAAAAGCATTCAGGCAGAAGGATCAGCATATGCAAAGGTCCTGAGGCCGTCTCCTCTAGGGAGATTACGTCAAAGTCAGCACAAAGCCTATAGAGTCCCCCCACAATCAGCCCCTCACCCTTCTCCTCTCTGCTGCAGCTATACTGGCCTTGTTGTCCCCCAACTAAGATATACTCCCACCTCAGGACCTTTGCCTTTACTATTACCTCTGCCTGGAATGCTCCTCCCTCAGAAACTGTCACGGCTCACTCCCTCACTTCCTTCAGGTCTTTGCTCAAATGTCATCTTCTCAATGAGACCACTCTTAATTGTACTACTTAAAATTGAAATCCCCCCACCCCAAGTTCCCTTTCCCTTTGCATGCATTATTATTTTCCCAGAAGCACTCATCTTCCTCTCTCGCACCCCTTCTTGTATTTGTGTCTTTATTCTGGATTGTGTCCCCACTACAATGTCAGCCCTGCGACAGCAGGGATTTCTGGTTTTGTTCACAGTTGTGTCTCCAGCTCCTAGGACAGTGCTTGGCATTGACTGTGTGTTCGGTAAATCTTTGTCACATGTATGAGGGACAGAATGAACCAGAAGACCGTAACCGTGGCTGGAACAGAGGATGTGGAGCTGAGTGTGGTCTGAGAGGAGGCAGTGATCAGACGCCCAGAGGCTAGAGTATAAAGTGAGGAGCTTGCTCTTTCTCAGAAGGGCACTAGGGAGCCATGGATGAGGTGGGAGCAGAGGGAGGCCAGGGTCAGAATCGCGCTTTGGGAAGATCCCCTAGCTGACGTGTGGAGGTTTGGAGTGGAGCTCTGGCTACTGACGATTGTGCTGGAAGGGGAGGACGGGAAGCTAAATGAGCCCAGCAGTGGTCTCACTCTGTGGAGGGGCTGCCACACCAGCGTCACATGAAGGCAGACATTTCTTGAACATTTACTGCCAATCCAGTCTTGAGCTAAGCTCTCCTGTGCTGCCCCTCCACAGATCCTGAAAACATCTCCTTAAGTGTAAGAACTACTATAATGGATCCTAACTATTTCCCAAAGCCACACAGCTGGGAATGACCAAGGCAGGGCAGGCCCAAAGCGAAATCAGACACAGACTTTGGGAGGCCCAGCGTGGGCCTGGGCTCAGCTTCCACCCCAAGGGACACCTCTGGCAAGCCCCTGCCTCCCTGGGGGCCTCTCTTTCCCCCCTCAGTGCCACTGAGAACAGGGAAGGGCTGTCTGTCTTTACCAAGGTCAGATCCAGCCACAGCGCCCCCCTCCCACCTTCTGGGTTGCCCCACCTCTCCCCTCTCAACCATCTGGGGCACCTCCTCGCGGACAGAGGGACCCAGGGTGGTGCTACTCACGCAGGGGCTCACGCAGTCCCAGGAGGTGGGTGCTGGCGTCCTGCTGGCTCCCTGGGGCTGGCCCTCCGGCCAGAAGGAAGCTCTGCAGGAGACACACAAAGCTGCCACGATCACGGTCATGATCGTCAGTGTCCCTCTCCCGGTGGTCCTGCTTTCAAATGCTCCTCGTGCCCTGATATGAGCATGCTGCTTCCTGCCCAGACTCTGACCCGGGCAGCTGCTCGTCCTCTCGTGTGCAAATGTGAATGCAAAGCATAACGGTCATGGCGACAATATCTTAAGAGCAGTCGTGAGGATTCAGCAAAATGTAATCACGCAAGAAATACCGTGCATCGTCTGCCGCGAGGTAGGCACTTGGCAACTATCAGCTGTGGGTACTGCCCACAGCTCTCGTGTTCAAACCCCTGCTCCGAGTGAGGAGGCGGAGAGCCACGGAAGGTGCTGGGGGAGGCTGGTGGCAGGGCCGCAGCCTAGCCCGGGTTTGGGAAGGGCGTCCTGGTTGCCGTCGTGCAGAAAGGACAGCAGGGGCAAGATGGAAGCAGGGAGCTGGGGGAAGGAGGCAGGGGGGGTCGTGCCTTTGCTTCGTTGTTTTTATATCATTTATTGACAGCCACTAAGGACCGGCCTGTTTTCACTTGCCTCTCGTGAGTCCTGTGAGATGTCACCATCCCACTTCCCAGATGAGGAAACTGAGGTTCATGGCAGTCCCATCACCTGCCCAAAGTCTCACAGTTACGAGGTGGCAGACCTGGGACTTGACCCCAAGTCAGTCTGACTGTTGTCTGGACTCTGAATGCTACACTAATAATCCAAGGGAGGCCCACGGGAGAAGTTTCTATACATACTAACCTTTGTCGTTTCTCCCCTTTACCCTGCGTCATTTTTCTGCTTAGAACTCACCAACTCACATAAATTTGCAGAGCCCTTTCATACCATGACCTGAGCTAGCAATCAGGGTCCTAGCCTCACCCAGATGACTGACCTTCCATTTGACCTTCAGTCAGCCTCTTCCCCTCTCTGGTCTTCCCACCCGTAAAACACTAGGTTTAAGCCCACTAGGTTCTGAGGGCCAGAGAATCCCACGAATCCCCCAACATACCAGGCTGAGGGGAGGCAGCAGGAAGTTTTCGGCTTCTGGGCTGGGGGACCATTTGGGGGGTCTCACTCCTAACAGCTCCACGCCCTCGGCTTCGTCCTCTGCACTCCGAGCCAGGGTCCTGGAGGGAAACAGGTCAGAATCTCAGCACACGACAAACCCGAGCAGGTGTGGGCCCACTGTAAGCAGATGATGAGTACTCGTTCACTCTCCCAAGTGCCTGTTTATTCCTTTACTCACACATTCACCCGTCCTTCTGCCCATCGTCCATTCATCCACCCATCAATCCGGCCATCCTGCCATCCACCAATCGTCCATCCACCCATCTACCCGTCCATCCATCCGGCCATCCACCCACCCACTTACCATCCATCCATCCACCTACCATATTCATCCATTCCCTCCCTCCCTCATTCTATAAGTCTTTATTAGATACCCACTGTATATCCAGCATCGAGCTGAGAGCTTTGGGAAATAATGAGATGTATCCATAAAACCTCACACAGACAGTAAAGGGACCATTCTGGACACTAAATGGGCGCCCGCCTGCCATGTGGAGAGCAGAAGCTTGAGCATTAGTAATTTAACGTCTCTGGAAAGAGAACGTAGACCCTCTGAAATTCTATGCAAAACTGTGCATGCGTATGTATGTGTAAATGTTCTTGGGAAAGAGTCCATAGCTTTCAACAGATTCTCAAAGGCGTTAGGAAACTTGGTTCTAGACAGTTTTTTTGACACTGTTGCCATGTCCTCTTAACTGTGACAAAAATTGTGACGAGGCCAGATATAAATATGTTCTAAAGGAGAGGGCCCTGGTGGACTGGTGGGATGTGGATAAACGAGGAGAAGAGTGGAGGGCACTCCAGCCGGGCACAGCCAAGACAAAGACGGAGGTTGGAACAAACTGGCACGGGCAGCAGACACCGAGGGCCTGGCCGGAGCAGAGGTCAGAGGAGGAATGAAGCGGGATGGGGCTGAAACAGGAGGCAGGAGCAAGACGGGGGGCGGGGGGCGGTTCACTCCCTTTATATCCTCCCTCTACTGCGGCTCACCTCTTCCGAGCCCCAGCCGTGGGGGAGGGCGCCAAGGGGTCCCCTCTGGAAGGGCTGGAGCAGCTCAGCCGAGGGTCACTTCCCCAGCGGGGCAGCAGGGAGGGCTCGGGGGCTGGGGGCGACAGGCCATGGAAGCTCCGAGCACGAGGCCGGGGGACAGCGCCTGGAGGTCTGTGGAAGGCCCTGGGCCGCTGCTCGCTGGAGCTGAGCTGGAAGTCATCATCCATGGAGATGTAGGGGGCCAGCATCTCCAGATCCAGACCATCGACGTCCTGCGGGAGGCAGGAGGAGGTTAAAAGCAAGGGCTCGGCCTCAGGTGGGCCTGAGCTGGACTCCCAGCTCCGCCGTCTCTGAGCCGGGCGCCCGAGGTCAAGAGTCTGAACTTCGCTTTGCTTATCTGTAAAATGGGTGGAGGGACTCTGTGGCAGCCAGTCACCAAGATGGCTCCCAAGGAGCCTCGCCTCTTGCTGTTTGCGCCCTCGTGTAGTCCCTACTGCAGGGACAAGGGTTGATCTGGGCACAATAGGATTTCAAGGGGATGATAATGTGGGACTCCCAACATCAGGTTATAAAGAGACCGTGGCTTCTGTTTTTGCTGCAGACTCTCTGGGGTCATGTGCTGTGGGGGAAGCCCTACAGAGAGGCTCCCATGGCAAGAAACGGAGACGTCCTACCAGTGGACGAGTCGGCCATCTTGGAAGTGCATCCTCTGGTCCCTTTCAAGCCTTCCAGTGACGGGAGCCCTGGGTGATGACATCTTGACTGTGACCTCAGAGCAAAGGCCAGCCCGCTAAGTGGCCCCCAGGCCCCTGATCCCCAGAAATTACGTGAGGTTGTACATGCTCTAGGGGAATGAGTTACCCACAAATGACAGGTGAGATCTTCGTCCTGAGAGTGGGGTGCTGCCCTGACGAAAGCCTGAAATGCGGGGTGGCTTTGGCACTGGGCAGTGGGCGGGGGCCGGAAGGGCTCTGAAGAGGCTGTTGGAGCCTAGACTGCCTTGAGCAAACAATTAGTGGACACGTAAGGCATGAGGAGCTGGCCAGGAAGGGCATAAAGGGATGTGAGGAACGTATGACCGGAAGCCCGAGGAAAGGGGGCTTTTGTGTGGTGGCTACAGTTTAGTGTCACCTGTGGTTTTGTGGAACTTGGAACAGGTAACTAGTGAGCTGGGCCATCCAGCTATGAGCGTCCCAGCCCCAGTGCTGAACGGCTGCCTGATTTCTTCTTGCCCTTAGAGTAAAGACAAGAGGAGAAAGGAGCTAAAGGAGAAAGGCTACACATGAAGGAGCTGAAGGGGACTTGAAGGTCTGGAAGATTCTCAACTTCCCTGTGAAGTGAAGAATTAATTTTACCCAAAATGAGGTGTGGCCTTTGCCCTGGCTCCTCGGGACTTCCTGAGTGACAGGAGTGTCTCTGCTCCTCATGGTGAGCCCCTGGGGCCACGCCGGACACTGTATGCCAACGAGATGACTCAGGCTGGAGGCTGGCCATGCCCAACGGCCAACCATGCGATGAGAGGGTCAGGGCCCTGTGAGATCAACCTCACCTCCGGGGGAAGTGTGTGTGTGTTGGGGAGGTAGAGATGAAGATCAAGGTTAACTACATGGGCAATAATTCAGTAGTGCCTACATAATGCCCCTTCGGTGAAAACTCTGGACACCTGGGGCACCTGGCTGGCTCAGTAGGGTTGTGTCTGCCTCTTTGGTTTCGGCTCAGGTGATGATCTCAGGGATTGAGCCCCATGTTAGGCTCTGAGTTCAGCGGAAATCTGCTTGGATAGTCTCTCCCTCTGCCCCTCCCCCTGCTCACGCTCTCTCTCTCTCTCAAATAAATAATAAATCTTAAAAAAAAAAAAAAAAAAAAACCTCTAGACACCACAGCTTGGATGAGCTTGCTGGTGCGGCAGTATGCCATGCTGCTGGGAGCATGACATGTCCCCGGGGTCATGAAAGGTTTGCATTTGGGACCCTCCCAGTCCCAGATTCCACACTGTGCATCTCTTCATTTGGCTATCATATTCTTTTGAAGTAATAACTATCATTTTAAGTCCAGTGCTGTCCTAAGTTCTAGAGCTACTGCCAGCAAATTACGGAGACTGAGGGACTCATGGGAATCTCTGCATTTGTAGGTGGCTGGTCTGTAGTGAGGGCGGCCCTGGGCACCACAGCCAACGAGCTTGCAGCTAATGTTAGAAGTCTTGGACAGACTTGGCAGACAGGAGGACTGTGGCCTTCACCTTGGGTTTGGCTGAGCCTGGGAACTCCCCAGATGGCAAGGCATGCTAAAATTGAGCAGGGAAGAGCGCTCTTGGGAGGGCCTGGTCTAAAGATGAAGCCCAGGGGGTATGACTAAAAAATTCTTTGTTAAGACTTCAGAAAGATCAAAGGCGTTGCCTAGAATATCCCTCAGTCAGACAACAGCGCTCTGGAGTTTAAGGATGTGCCTCACAGATTTTCTCAGTCAGACAATGGGGCGTCTGTTAGATTTCTGGGCACTGTTACTCAACATCTCAGCAAAAGCCCAAAGTAAAGAAGGGCTTATCTTGAAGAGATCGTGGGCTTTACTTTTGTCTAAAGGAGTGAACTCCAAAGAGATTCATGCAAGACCCACACATTTTTTTAAAAAAGATGATTATATAAAGAGAAACGTTGTCAGCTTGGACTGGAGGGGACAGAGATGGAACTAAATGAAAAGAGACCTTTGAGCCACCAAAGTTCCCTAGTGAGAAAGCAGGTCAGGAAAACCCTCTCAGCTGCAAACACATGTTACCCCTTATGAAACAGCAAGGAGGACTCCAAGTGAGGAGCCCAGCATCTAGACAGCGGAGCCAAGAACCATGGAGAAAGGCCCTAGGAAGTAGTAGGGGTGAGTTCTGATCAAGGAACTTCTCATAGTTGCTCAACTGGATTTCAGAACTCCTGGGACTAGTGACTCCTGTATGCGCTCCAGTCCTCTTCCTCTTTTTGAACAGGGAATACATGGCCTTACTCTGTGCCTGGCCCACCACTTTTTGTGGGGCATGTGGCTGGTGCATCACTTGTCTCTTTGGTTCACGGGCCAACAGAGGGAGAGCTTCACCATGCCCAGACCCGAGCAGGTGACAAGCTTCCAGATGTTGGGATGATACTGTCATGGGAAGAGACTTTGGGGGCACTTGGGGGTGGGTGAGTGCATTTTCCATGAGGGCGGGGCACGAATTATCGGGGTCCCCAATGATCTTTGCCTTCTGGTGTATGCAGATGCCTTCTGCATTGTATCAGGGTTGGTCTGTATGACCGATATAATCGTGAAGTGATGGTGTGTTGCTTCTGAGATTCGTTTATAAAATACTGCATTTTCTGTCTGGGCTCACTCTCTCATTATCTCTTGGGTTCCCTGCCTTTGAGGGAAGCCAGAGAGCCTACGTGGTAAGCAACTGAGGCCTCGAGCCAGAGCCAGTGAGGGACTGATGCCTATCAACAACGATGTGTGTGAGTTTGGATGTGGATCCTCTAGCCCCACACAACTGTACCCCTAATGGAAAGCTTGACTTCAGCCTCACAAAAGACTTATAAAAAACCATCCAGCTGAGCTGCTCCCAGATTCCTGAATCTCAGAAATGGTGTGACACAATAAATGTTAGTTGTTTCAAGGTACTCAGTTTGGTGATTTGTTTTGGAGCAACAGAAAACTACTACATCATATCACTGCCATTCATCTAGCTGCTCAATCATCCAAACATTATCCATCCACCCATCATCTACCCAATGAACCAGTGGCCTATCTAACTACCCATCCAAACATCCATTATCCATCCATCCATCTGTCTAACCATCACCCATCCATCTATCCCCCATAATCCACCTAATGAATATAGTGGTCCATCCGTCCATCCATCCATCCATCCATCCATCCATCCATCTAACCATCACCCATCCATCTATCCAACGTCATTCACCTAAAGAATACAATGGCCTTTCTATCATCCATCCATCCAGTGGTCCCCTCAACCACGCTACCACCCTCTCTAAAGCTCAGTTATGTCAGCCCCCAGAGCACAGAGGTAATGTTTATTCCTTCCAGGCCAGCCCTTACCTGAGCTACATCTAGATCCGACTCCACAGACTCAAGGTCCTTCCCTGAGGCCACGAGTTTGTGTGTGTTCTCCATGTTCAAGTGTGGTCCATCTGGGAGATCAGCCTGTGGGGAGAGAGCAGACGCTTAAGGAAATCTGGAGTCTAGGAAGTGTTAACAGCAAGACAGTCTGGACATTTGAGATCAGGGGCAGCAGTGAGGGTTAAATGTCACACAGCTGGGACACCAAGGGGGTCAAACGGCAAAAGCAAATGAATTCTGGACCTGGGTGTTTCGAAGATGGAAGTGGCCAGGGATGGATTGACATGAAAAACTCAGAGATTCAAAGACCAAAGCCCAAGGCCAAGATACTCAGGCCCTCTTGGGAGTCTGGAGTCTGGGTCGAATGATGCAGAGTCCGCTAGCCCAGGTGTAAAGGTCACAGGCCACAGTCTTATTTCTCTGGTGGAGAAAAGATCTTGGGGGAAGGGCGGCTGGGGAAGGACGAGGAGAGTCAACAGCAGATAACATGGGCCCCTGAGTCAACGGTCACACTATCTGAACTCAAGTAAACAAAAAGTAGCTTCTGTGGTATATATAGCACCTACAGGGTATCAGGGGTCTACCAAGTGCTTCCCGTGAATGATCTCAATGAACCCTCCCAGCAATCACTGAGATGACTACTTGCTATGATCCTAGTTTTATAGATGAAGACACTCAGGGCCCACGTGTCCAGGGAAACGCAGCTGGGAAGTGGCAGATTCAGGATTTGACTCCTGGTCTCTGTCATTTAAGACATCAGACATTCTTGACTCTTTGAGCTCCTGGATGATTGGTCATAAGCAAGGAGGGAGGGTCACCCGTGCCAGTCCCAAACAGCCCAGGTTTTGGTCCAGATCACAGTTGAAGAATCTGGGATCTAGGCCTTAAAGGAACCCCATCTCACCCCAACCTTCCCACTGCACAGAGGGAGAAACTCAGGCCCAGAGAAGAACAAATTCAAGCCAAAGGCCAAAGCAGCCTGAGTGCGGAGGGTTTACTTGGAAGGGACTGCTTACCGGAAGAGGACTTTGGGGCCGCCGTGTGGCTGGGGGTGCACTGGGGGTGGTGGCTCCTGAAGTCCCGTCCAGGATGGGTGCCAGGAGGCGACGGAGGTCGGGGCTGCAGAAGCGCCGGGGGTCAGCAGCCAGGGTGGCCTCGCTCAGTGCAGGAGGGTGCAGGAAGGCCAGGATCCGGGGACCAGAGGCATCTACGGGACACACAGATGGGGAGGACACAGGGCTGAGGGGCAGAGTCCTCCCCACCAATCCAGGGAGCCTCGCTGGCATTTTCCATAACCGATCAGGGTGGAGGCTGCTCACAGCACTGAGGAACTGAGTTTGGGGAACCGCTGCTCTATCCCTTCAGTTGCTAGATCGTGGGGAGACCCTGGAGGGTCCTACAAGGGCCAATGTGGGGTGGGAGGCACACAGTAGGCTTGGGATAATAGCAATTGCCCAAAGATGGGGAAATGTTTTAATATCTAAAATCAACGCGGCTAGACCAAAGCACATGCCTGACCCGATTCTTCTCCAGAGGCACAGAACAGCAATCAGCCATTCCGCTCTGGACGCGGCGTGGGGGGTGCTTGCATATTGGGGGGGACTTGCATATTAGGAGAAAAGACAGGCCCCAGGCCCCCAAGGAGGTTCTAAGGTCCCTGGAGTTGAGTTCTGAGGCAGAAAAGTAAAGGCTATCAGTGACCCCACACCATACCCAGGAGCATGGACTGCCAGCAACAGCTTGGAGAAGGAGACGGCCTTGAGGAGCCATTAGGAAGAAAAGCTCGCCCAGGATTGGGGGGGGGTCAGGTGGGGGAGAAAGAAGAGGGAGAAAGGAGCCCCAGGAGGATGATTATCGGATGCCAGTGAGCAGTGAAGTGGGAGCAGGGAACCAGCGGAAGGGTGGGGGCAGTGGGGAGCCACAGCAGGATTCGGAGCGTCAACTGAAGCGATCATCCCAGGGACACAGAAGTAGAAGGACCGAAGAAAGAAGAGCATTCTGGGCAGAGGGAGCCGCCAGTGCACAGGCCCTGAGGCATGAGAGTCTAGCATGTTCCAAGAGCACTAAGGGAGCTGGTGTGCTCAGAGGGTGAGTGAGAAGGGGAGGGAGGCAGGAGTCAGGTCACGCAGGGCCTGGTGAGCCCTTCTTAAGGCATTTGGGCTTTTCCCTCAACCGTCCTGGGGCCACAACCCCTCCCAGCCCCAGCCCTGCCCCATACCAAGGCTGTCCCGGAAATTAGGGGCATCCTTCTGGGAAGGGGTGCCCCGCTGAACGGGTCTGCGAGAGTGTCTCTCTGTCTGCTCCAGGGACAGCACCACTCCAGTCTCTTCCACCCGGCTGGGGTATAGGGCAAAAAGGGGAACAGAAGTCAGAGAGGGTCCTTGGGCCCTGGCCCAGGCAGCCCCCTTAGATGATGTCCCGCCACAGGAGGTGATCTTGGTCAGGGCAGGAAGACATTGTGCAAAAAATAATTTGCCGCATATATGCGTTTCTTTTTTGGATTTAATTTTGGTTGAATGCTTTTTATCATAATAGCATTTAAAATAAAGTTATGTGTGTCTTCCCAAGCTCTCTCTGTGGAAGGAGACAGAAGAAAAAAAAAAAGAGTTGGCATTTAGCACAGCTTGGGTAGAGAGGGGAAACGTGTGGGGGGAAAACAAGGGACAGAGAAGGGGAGAGTCAAAAGGCATAAGAACAAAATATTCTCTTTATATTTACTTATAAACATATTCTTATAATGATTGATAAAGTATATATATTTAACACTCTTACATTACCAAATATGAAGAATTCAGAAGGATATATTTTAGTGAATAAGATTTTATTTATGAAGTCTCTATTCATAGACATTTTTCATATTCAAGGGAATGGATTTATAAATATATCCTTCTTATGTCCCTGGTGCCTCCCTTCCCCCCAGTCTCTAGCTGCTGAGACAACCCAAATGTTCTCAGTCCAATCGGCTTTTGGAGAATCAGTCAGGGGGGGCTGAAACCAGGGCCCTCGTCTCATTTACATAACAATACCCAGGATGGCACATGGGTGATCCCCCCACCAGCTCTTTGAGAAGCTACGCCCCTTCCCCACCCTCACCAAACCCCTTCTGGGCTGGACACACCCCAGTTTAGGCTGGACCAAAGCCACACCAACCCCTTTGAAAAACACAAGCCTGTCCATGTCCCACATGTATACGCACGGTTCACACGCGCACACACAGGAACACAGAAACAGGTATATACCCAGACAGACGTGCATGCACAATCTGTACTCTCGCGCTCACACGTGCATATTCTGCATTCGTTCATCCCATAAACATGTCCTAGACAACTAGTACTGTCTGGTGGCAAAGAGCAACGGCTCTGTAGTCAGTGGTCTGGGGTCAACCGGCCTTGCCACTCTGTGTAATTAAGAACACACGGATGAAGTGTGTGTGACCTCGAGTCTGTGGCTGAACCTCTCTGTGCCTCATTTTCCTCTTCTGTAAAGAGGCAATATAATAATACCTCCTCCTGGGTCCCTGAGTGGCTCGGTCAGTTAAGCGCCAACCTTCAACTCAGATCATGATCTCTGGGTCCTGGGATCTAGTCCCGCATCAGGCTCCCTGCTCATCGGAAAGTCTACTTCTCCCCCCAGCCCCAACTCCTCCCTGCTGCTCATGTTCTCTCTCTCAGATAAATAGAATCAAAAAAATAATAATACCTCCTCCCCAGGTTGTTAGGAGGCTTAAGTGGGCTAATACACATAAAAGGCATAGAACTGAGCCGGTACCTGGGGAGCGCTACCTAAGTATCTGGGATTCCCGAACAACTACTAGGTGCCAGGCGCTGTTCTAGGTGCTGAAGATTCAGTAGGGCCCCATGTAAATGAGTTTTATTCTTACAAAGCAATTGCTCACTGCAATGGAGGAAGGCTTGGGTCTGGGAGGGGAGGGTTTTTATACCACAAAGTATAAGCACCTGAGCACACAGAGACAGCCACACAACTGCCCACCACACAACACCTACACAGAACAAGGACAATTAATACCATAAGCTCCTTATTTCACTGGAATTAGGTAAGCCATTCCCTCCTCTCCCATCTCTGCCGAGAAAAGTGAACTCTCCGGGTCTGCTCTTTGCTTAGAGTACAGAAGACTGAAACCACAGGGCCTGGCCATAGAAAGGCAAATCTTCACAATGAGCAAAAGGAGTTTCCAGAAGAGGGAGGGGCAGGTCCCCTCTCTTTCGCAGCGACAATGGCGACAATGGCGAGGCCTCTTGCCACATGGACAAGTAATTCAAAGGCTCTGATTGGGAAAGGTGTTAAAGTGAGAACATTCCACAGATAATTAGTCTTGTTTTTCTCACGGGGCTTGAACTCCAGATGGTGAGATCAAAACCTGACCTGAGACCAAGAGCCAGACGCTTAAGCGACTGGAGCCACCCAGGTGCCCCTCCCCACTTCCATTTCCTAAGAGAATCTGTTCTTGACCAGAAAGATGTAGGGAAACCCATAAGGCTTTAGAAATTGAGAGCATGTCCTGGAAGAGAATTTTCAAAGAAGACCTGTAATTCTCTCTGTCTTCTGTGCTAATTTGCTGCCCCTCGTCACAATGTTGTCATGGTGAAAAACTTCTAATATGCTGAACTCAGTGGAGGAGAGCCTGTGATTTTACCCCAGCGCATCCATTAGAATGGTTAAAATTAAAACCAAAGAAGACAAAAACAGAGGACACAGAATGCTGGCAGGCGGGAACCCTTACTCACTATTGCTGGTGCAAAGGCAAAATGGTGCAGCCTTTTGGGAAAATGACCTGGGAGTTTCTTATGAAGTTAAATACACACAGACCATGCCTAGGTGTTTACCCAAGGGAAATGAAAACATGATTCACAAAAGCTTCCATGAGAATGTTTACAGTAGCTTTTTTTGTCATCACCCGAAATAGGAACCAGCCCAAGTGTCCTCCAAAGGCAAATGGACAAACAGACTCTGGTCTGTTCATATTCATACCAGAGGACACCACTCAGCATTAAAAAGGAGCGACCCCCCCCCCCCACACAGCACAGATACACTTTAAATATGTTATGCTAAGTAAAAGAAGCCAGACTCAAAAGGCTCCATCCTGCGGGATTCTTTGAACGGAACATTCTGGAAAGGGCAAAATGCTAAAGGTCAGAGGGCAGCTCGGTGGTTGCCAGGGACTGGTGTGGGGTGGGGTGCACTGGGATTCACTATGGCAGAATGTTTTTGGGTGATTCTCTGTAGCTTGACTGTGGAAGTGACTCCATAATCCCACGCCTTTGTCAAAACTCATAGTAGCATAGACCAAAAAGTGAATTTATTATATGTAGATTACACTTCAATATTTTAAAAAGCAAAAGAGCCCCCACGATTCTGCTAGATTTCTTACTTTAATTTGAGTATGGAGCCCTTCTCAATTTCAGTGAACAGCATGCACACGTGCGTGGGTGTGCACACACCCACGCCTGTGTGTGTACGTGCAGGCACACCTGTGTGCATTCGGTCACACGTGGTCTGCAGACACAGACATGTGAGCACTTGTTCTCACCCTCATGTGCACACACACATGCCTCTCACACCCATGCAGACCAGACCCACGCACTGCACACCCCCTCCCACTTACCTGATCAGGAAGTGGACGCAGACGATACTCTCAGACTGGGGACCCCGGCCCCCTGAAACCACTGTGGCCTGGGTCTGGGTCCACAGATAGCCACCACTCCGGGCCAGGAAGCGATACTGCCCCGTTACTGCCTGGCCCTTGCTCAGCACTGGGGAAGGGGATGCAGGACGGGTCAGGGCCACAGAAGGGGCAGATGGGAAGAAAAGGCACTGGGGACAGGGGCTTGGGTATGAGGGGACCAGGGAAGAGAAGGTTCCTTGGGACATGGGGCGTAGGGAGCTGGTGTCGGGGCATGGGGGGCTAGGGGGGCCTGTTTCAGAGTGCCAGGAGGTCCTACGTACAGGTGTGGATGCTCTGGCCAACGGCATCCGAGTCCAGAGCGTGAATGTACTCGTAGGCCGAGCAGCCGATCAGGTCACTGGGGCTGTAGCCGGCGACCTCCGCGATCCTGGGGTGGGGGCAGTGGGACCTGGTCAGTTCGACTGGCTGAGGTGGAGGGTGGGGGGGGGACAGGGGGATGAAGTCAGCAGGACAGAGACAGATAAGGTGGTAACAGAGGGAAAGGGAGAGTAAGAAACAGAAAAGGGATTATGATAGGCTGAATAACGGCCCCAGCCCCCAGAGAGGTCTGCCTCCTAATCCCGGGGACCTGTGATAACTGCGACCTCACAGGGCAAAGGGGACCCCGCAGGGCTGATTAAGGGCGGGGTCTTGAGATGTGGAACTTCACGTGGACCAGCCTGGTGGGCCCTGTGTGGCAATGGGGGCCCTTATAGAGAAATACGGAGAACAGGACAGGTTCTGTTCTGTTCTGATGGAGGCAGATGGCGGGGCCATGTGTTTTGAAGATGGAGAAAGGGGCTCCAAACCAAGGAATGTAGAAAGATTCCAGAAGTGTTTAAAGCAAAGTGACTCCAGAGGAATGCGGCCCCTGACTTTAGCTCCACCGGACTCATGTCAGGCTTCTGGCCTCCAGAGCTCTGAGATGGTGAATGTGTGTTGTGTTGAGCCCCGTGGCTTGTGGGGAAGTTACGGCAGCAGCAGGAAATGGACGGGGGTGAGGGGGATGGGATGAGTAAAGCAAAGGAGGAGAGAAAAGGACCAGGTAAGAGAAGAGAAGGAAGAAAATCAGAAAAAGAGAAATAGGAAGAAATGAATAAAATAAAACGTAATAATGATGATAATGATTAAAAATATACACTTCCGGGGTGCCTGGCCGGCTCAGTAGGTGGAACATGTGACTCTTGATCTCAGGGTTATGGGTTCAAGCCCCACTTAATAAATAATAAAATTTTTTGTTTTGTTTTGTTTTGTTTTTTGGTTTAATATACCTCTATGGCGTTCTGCACCAGGCAATGCACTAGTGCATTGTCAGAACAGCTGCTGTAAGGGGCGCCTGGGTGGCTCAGTGGGTTAAAGCCTCTGCCTTCAGCTCAGGTCATGATCCCAGGGTCCTGGGATCAAGCCCCTCATCTGGCTCTCTGCTCGGCAGGGAGCCTGCTTCCTCCTCTGTGCCTGCCTCTCTGCCTACTTATGATCTCTGTCCGTCAAATAAATAAATAAAATCTTTGGGAAAAAAAAAAAAACAGCTGCTCTAAGGAGGTTCTGGTACCACTCCCTAGGACAGACCAGGAGAGCACAGCACAGAGAGGGGCCCACGTTTGGCCAAGGGCACACAGCTAGGCTTTAAAACCAAGCCCAGACTTGCCATGCCCAAGCACAACTTCAGGGCGAGGGAAGGAGGGAAGATGCAGGAACATGAAGGGTCCTTCCATGTTGGGCACTGTGCTAACTGCTTTAGGTGCACTGACTCGTTTAAGGAAAGCAACAGAAGGACAGGGAGGGAGTAACGAAGACTCAAAGGGGACAGGAAGAGAACCCAAGGCAAAAAGACCCACAGAGAATGCCGAGATGGACAGCCACACAAGACAGAGATAGATGGCATCAGAGAGAGACGGAGATGGACCAGAGGGAGAACTGGGGGGCAAGAGAAAAACCAGGGAGGGACCCAGAGGCAGAAAGGAAGAGGAAGAGCCAAGCCAATGGAGGGGTGGGGTGCAGCGGGGCCGCTGCCCACCTCTCATCACAGTAGGTGAACTTCATGTCCAGGCTGTGGCGGCTGAGGAACGCCCCCTGGCCCAGTGGGGGCTCCAGGCTGCCTGGGTGGGGGATGGCTTCACAGATGAGCACCAGGCATTGCAGGGGGGGCTCCAAGTTGGGGCTTCCTGCTGGGGATGTCTGTGCAGGGGGTTTGTAGGCCCTCATGTGTCCAGAGCAGTGCAGCACCTGGTTGGGGTGAGGGGGGGCAAGGTGGGGAAGCATGTGGGCCTGGGGCTCCCGTGGAGCTGGGAGGTAGGTCTCTGGGGACCCCACCGGGAGCTGAGAAGGAGAAACCCCGGACCCACCTTCCAGGTGGCCGCCTTGAGGTTGAGGGTGCGCCCGCGGCCGGTGAGGGTGCTCTTCATACGCAAGGAGAAGCAGCGCTCGGTGGGGGCCTCCGGCTTCTTTTTGGACAGGCCTGGGGAGGGCCCCGGGGAGGGGGGTGAGCAGGGCACCAGGTGGCTCTGGACAGTTCCCAGTTCCCTCCAGCGCCCCGCCAGCCTCATTCCCAGAGCGGAGACCTGGAACAGGAGGGCCTGGGGGGGGGGGCAATGCTCTTTCAGAGCCCCCAGGGCAGGACCACGGCCCCTCCTTCCAGCTTCCTCAGTCCAGTCCTCCAGAGGAGGAGGGGACACGCTGAGGGAAAGGGGGAGCCGCAGCTTTTATAACCGGAGTCAGAGGCCTCTAAGGGACTCACTCTGCCGGGGGGTCAGGGCGTCCTGTAGCTCCTCTTGGTCACAGGGATGGATGAAATCAAAGATACTGTGTCCAATGAGCTCCAGCTGCCAGGGAGGGAAGCAGGGGCAGTCTGGGGGTTAGAGCACTTTCACCGAGTCCTCCTTCCTCAGCCTCGCCATCCCTGCCCTGATTTATAAGCCTGGATTACTTCACTAGTTTGTTCGTTTGTTCATTCATTCATTCACTTACACACTCACTAAGCAACCCTCTCTTTAGCACCTGCTATAGCCAGGCCCTCTTCCAGATGGGTGGGCAAAGCTATGACCACACAGGAAAAATCCCTGCCTCTCAGAGCTTACTGGCTGGCAGGGCAGGTGGTCAATAAGGAAACCAATTAAACAAAACACAGACATAAAATAATATGTACATAATAGGAAAAAAACTGGAATAAGGCCATGAAATGACAGCATGCTATCTTAGACACCATAGTCAGAGCCCATGTCTTGAGGGGACACTGAAACAAATCGCTGAACCAAGCCAGTGAGGTGGTCCTGTGGCTCTCTGGAGTGTTCTGGAAGAGGGAACAGCAAGTGCAAAGGTCCTGAGGTGAGACCCCATTCAAATCCCATCTGGTTGCCAAGCCAAAGATTTGACAAGTTATTTCAGTTCCAGAAATGGGCATGGTGCTGGCGGGAGGGGACTCCGATGGAAGGGGACCCACACAGCTCCCAGTCCAATAGTGGTGCTGACTCGGGGAAGAGGGCTCGCTCTCCTCTGACAGCACTTCCTCCAGCTAGATTCAAATCCTGGTCTGCCACTTCCTAGCTTTGGGGCCTTGGGACATTCCCCTCTCTGAACCTGAGAAGAGCTCAAGCTAACAGAGAAATTGGTACCAGGAGCAGGATAACAAGGCGGGAGAAAGGAACAGATGACAACTGTGGAGCCTATTTATGTGAAATAGAAAAAAAAAACAGTAACTGTCCTGTGGGGCATGCTGTATGGGTTAGCTGAAATCAGTTCTCACCTGTGTGTCCTGCCTTCTCGTCCCCAGACCCCTGCTCATACTCCTCCCATCCAGGGCCCTGCACCCCTCCCTGTGGATGGACCCTCAGCCTCCAGTCTCATCCCCTCCAACTCTAATTCTGTGTGCACCAAGTTGGGGGGGGGGGCGCTTTTCCAATGGTAAATCCAATTCTGCCTCTCTCACAGCCTCTCCCCCACTGAAAATCCATCTATGGTTCCCTAGTGCCCTGGCAATAAACTTAATTTGGCCCTAAATTATCCAGCTCTGTTGACCTCTCTAGACCTTTTTCTCTCACCTTTCCCACTGCAATCCGCACTGAGCCAGGATAAACATCTTTAATCCCCCCCCACACTCCAATGCTGTTTTATCTCACCTCTGGGTCTTTGCATATTCTGTTCCCTCAGACATACGCATTCCCAGTCTTCACTGTTCCCATCCATTCCCCAAACCTTCTGACTGGCTAAGTCCTTCATTAAGGTTTCGGCTCAGATGTCTTCTTTTCTAGAAAGTTCTCAACGCCCCCTGAGGCTGTCTCAGGCAACCCCCTTTCCCTGGCTCACATGGCCCCCTAGGCTGTCCCATCCCTGCCCTGACCCTTCTGCAGCTTCCCGTCGGGTGACACATCTGTCTCCCCTCTGTGCTGGGAGCCCTGTAAAGACAGGGCTAGGCCAGTCGCAGTCACCTCCGTATCCCGGCATCACCTGCACGGGCCCAGGCACAAAGCAAGCAGCTCCTCTCACCTGACTGAGGCCCAGGTGTTTGCTGACATTCTCCGACAGGTAAGCCATGTCTCCCTCGGCAGTGAGCACCATGACGAAGCCCTCCAGGGCCTTCAGGTAGCAGGCATCCAGAGCTTCGCCCCCTGCTCCCACCTGGTTCCACTCCCCTGGTGTCCGGGCCAGGGCAGAGGGGGTTCTCTAGTCAGCCAGCCACGGGGCCACCCTGGCTAGCCTCCCTTTGCCTTCCCTCACTCTGAAGAATTTACAGGTGCCCCCAGGTGAGCAAGAATATATGCCCGTGGTTTGGGAGTCCCAAGGAAGGGGGCAGGGTTTTCCCAGGGGCACAGAATTCTAAGGAGGTGGGGGTCTCCCACAAGAATCGAATTCAAAGGTGGGGGAGTGGTCTCCTAGGAGGCCAGGCAGACTTTTAAAAGGATGGGATCCCTAGGGGTCAAAATTTAAGGTTAAAATTCTGACTAGAGGGAGTCAGAATTCTAAACGGGGGTGGGGAAGGCCTCCCAGGGCTTCAGAATTTCAGAATTCTTGGGGCCTTGTAGATGGGCAGAATTCTAAAGAAGCAGGGACTCCCAGGTGACGAGGATTCTAAAAGGGCAGAGCCTCCCAGAGAAGTAAAATTCTACAGGGCAGGGAAGGAAGTCTCAGGGGCAGAGCCTGCCAGAAGATGGCTCCACATTCCTCGTAAATAAAATGTTTTCAGGGTCCTGGAGATTCCAAGGGTGGGTGGGGGTGTGTGTGTGTGTGTGTGTCTCTCTCTCTCTCTCTCTCAGACCCCCCTGCAGGGTAGAATTCTAACTGGGTGGGAATTCAAGAGGACAGCTCTGAGGGGAGGGGCGATGGACCTAAGGAGCTAGGGAGGGCACGCTCTCAGGTGGTCATTAAAAATTGGGCAGCTAAGCCTCCCAGGGATATTTATCGCAAGAAAGTCTTCCTGGGGGCCAAATCCTAAGGGTTGAAGCTCCCAAGGGAGTTCGATGGCCTCCTATTCCTTAGAATTCCAACTCGAAGGAGGTGGGGCTTCCCAAGGGGCGGGACCGCACACGTGATCGACTCAGGAGGGGGCGGGGCCTCGTGCGGGAAGGGGGCCCCCTCCGCCGGGAAGACGTTAGGGGTTGGGGCCTTGCCCAAGTGGGCGCCCCCGGGGGCGGGGCTCACCTGCGGCGCAGAGGCGGTGCATGCGCAGGTAGCTGATGGTGAGGCGCATGATGGAGGCCTTGTCCAGGTGGGCGCTGACTCCGCGCGCGAAGGGCAGCGTGTGCGCCAGCTGGTACAGCACCTCGGTCTCCTGGCTGCGCCGGCTGCGGGCCGCATCCCGGGACTTTTCCTTGCGCAGCTCGGTGCTCGACCTGCGGACATCGGCAGCGTTCACTGGCGGCGCCCCCGGAAGGGAAAGAGTTGGATGGGACATGCACGTGGGGCACTGCCACATGGGGCCCCGGGCTCAAAGAGGGCAGGGCCGCGACCGTGCACGTCTCGCTGTGTGGCCCGGGCGAGTTCCCGGAGCTCTCTGGGCCTGCGAGGGTTATACTCTGGGGCAGCTCCTAGTCGCGGATTTTATCTGTCCCTGCGCCAGCCCATGCTGCCCCCAGCGCCTCACTCTCTGAGGTGTGCCCAGGGCCGCTGTCCCCTCCCTGACTTATCTGCTGTTTGTTCCCTGGGCTGGGGACGCCTGGGAGACCGGGAGGCCTCTTGCTGGGAGGGGGCTGGCAGAGCTGGCCCCAAGCCAGGGAAGGGAGGGATCATGAAGATGTCAGAAGCCTCCGGGCCCCCTGCCCTCTAGCCTCCCTGAACCCCCTCTCCTGCCCTTTCCCCTCCTCAGCTGAGCTGAATCCTCAGAATCTTAGAACACAGATCTCAAAGTCCAACGACCCACCAACAGGGGCCCTGCTGATGTGACATAGCAAACCAACCGCAGTGTTCTGCCGAGCCAACAGCTAACCACTAACCCCTACCCTTCAATCCGCTTCAAATACCTGACTTCTACGGGTGGGATGAGGTGGGGGTGGAGTTTGAAGGATGAGTATTGTTTTGTCAGAAATATCTGCCACGTATCCAGCTTCTTCCCTGTGCCAAGTGAGTAACTCACATTAAACCCACTAAGAGCTCAGACAACCCCAGCAAGAAGGTAATGACGTTAGCCCATTGAACATATGAGGAAACCAAGGCACAGAGAGGTTGCAGTGTTTGCCCCTAAGGAGTGAGGCCACGTTTGGACTGTGGTCTGCCTGAACTCTTCAGCCTTCTCTGTTCTATGGCCCTGGGTTTATCTCCAGGTTAGTGATTCTCCCTGTCTTAAATGTCTGAATCCAAACAACACAGTTTTTGAAAGAAAAAAAAAATTGGAGTATATTATATATAGTACAGTCTGCATAATCTTCTTTATATTTATAATATTGATAAAACCATTAATAACAAGTTATGAACTGCTGAGCGTGCGTCTGGCACTGTTCTAAGTACTTCACCTATGTGCACTCACTCAATCCCAGGAGGCACCTTAAATTTCCACTTCACAAAGGGGACACCGGGGCTCTGAAAGGTAAAGTCCTTTGCACAAAAAGTCACAAAGCTAGTAACTAACTGGCCAGGATGTGAACTCAGGCAGTGGGGTTCCAAAGCCTTCTCTCTGATTCCTTCCTTGTGACCCACTCCGGGGAAGCAGAACTCTAGGAAGAGAGGCTGTCCCTTCCAAAACCAGAGGCCACTCCTGGGGATGGCATCAACCTCAGGGCCCCAAGCAGACCTGCAGCCCCACCCATGGGCACGATTGGGAGAGCGAATTGGAGAGCGAGGGGTTGTCCTGTCAGGCCCTAGAGGGAAAAAACTCCCTGCATCCAGTGGGAGGCACAGAGGGGGGCAGGCTGGGTGGAGGGGTGGAGGGAGCCAGCGGTCAACCCCATCCCCTCCCTGCTAGCTGGTGGGAGGCGGGGGCCTCCAGTCCTGCTCTGCCCAGAGGACATTCCGTCCTGTCCTGTTCTGTTGCAGCCCTGTTTGTCTTCCTGCCCAGAGGGTGGGGGTGGGCGGGCCTCACCGGAGCCGGGGGCCCAGACAGAGGGAGAGGGAGTGGGAACGGGAATGGGGGTGGGGCCAGCCCCCCCACCTCCCAGGCAGCTGGGCTCTGTAATCCTCTCCGTGGCAGACTTCTCCCTCCATAGAAGGAGCCAGCTGGTGGCGGCAGCGGGACCCTCCTTCCAGCTCCCCGCCTGATCTCCGGACGTTCTTCTGAGAGGAAGTGTGGGCCTTTCGCTGGCTTCAGCTGGCTTCAGAGACGCCTGGGTCTCTGGCCTTTCATTACACGGAGGAGCTAAATGGAGTAGGGACGAGCTCGACCGGAGCAGAGGTCCAGTGTCTTGGCTCCACCATGTATGAGCTGTTTAACTCTGGGACAAACCGCAGGCCCTCCCTGAGCATAACAACACGACCCCACGGGGTTGTTGTAAAAATTACACGAATTCATATACATCAAGGACTTAGAACAGGGCCTGGCCATCGATGAGTGCCATGAGAGGGCTACACTTCTGATTACTCCCTTTTTGTCCACATCGGGAATGGAAGGCTCTGGAGTCTCCTGCACACTGGAGAGATGCATGGGCTTTGGTGGGAACCCCGTGGTCTGGTCTGTGTGCCATCACACACACGACCTTTACACAAGCACCTTGGAAGTAGACCCAAGTGTCATGAGAGTAATCCCGCTCGCTTTGCGGCACTGAGCACTCAAGGAGCCAGAGACCCCCTTAAATCCTCCCAATGGCCCGATGCAGCAGGAAAAATGATCTCCCTTTCACAGGGCCTGAACCCCAGGCTCTGAGCAATGGCCTCACTGGCCCAAGTTACCCCGCTGGTAATCAGGGCCGCCACCACATGGCAGCTGTGGTCCACCAATCTCAAGTGAGTCCCACGGAGCATCTACTTCTACCCAGAACGCTGTCTGACTTAAACACAGTTTGTTGTGACCTGTGGGGTATCCTGCCCCCCAAAGATCAGTTCCCTCACTGCTCCTTATTTTGATGTGGTGCAGGGAAGGGGTGGTATGATTCCCCCCCACCATCACCATTTTCCAGGATATGTCACTGAGGCTCAGAGAGGCAGTCAGGGGCCCCAGGCCACACATTCCAGAAGCAGATGGATGAGCTGGGATCTGAACATGACTTTAGGGCCTGTGCGCTTAAATGTCATGCCTCAGAGGGCATGTCCACCCCAGGAGCCCCTGCCCTGTCCCTCCTTTGCCCAGTAGCCTCAGTGCCTTCCCGTGTCCCACCTCTGCTACCTCCGGATTTCCCCAGCTGGCCAGTCTCCCTGGCTGGCCCCATGCCCAGCCCTGGTCCAGCCCCCTGGCACACTGCCCAGGTTGGGACGTGCAGCTGGAACCCTGCCACCCTTCCCCTGTGTTCCAGCAGAGAACAGGGGGTGGGGCTGGGGCCTTGGAGGCCCCAGGGTGAGGCCTGGGAATGGGGGCTGGGGCCCGGTGGCCTCCCCCCAGCCCCGGCCAAACCAAGAGACAGAGAAGCCCACCTCTGCAGAAATTGCCACCCGAGAGCAAAGGCAAGGAGAAAGTAGGAAGACGCAGAGCCATAGTCAGGGCTGCTCCTGGCCCTCTCTCTTCTGACACTGAGCTGGGTAGTGGGGGTCTTGAAAAAAGTGTAAAGGATCTAGGGGGCCTTAGGTTGTGTCTGGGCAGGGACCTCTCTGGGCACTGCGAGGCCAGAGGCAGGGTTTGGGAAAGGAGTTGGGGTAGGGTCAGTCAGGAGGACTCTGCTCATTCCCAAGGACATGGTAACCCAGTAGGGTGCCTGTACCCTGAGTCCTATCTTCCCTTGGAACCCTCTGATCCGGGGGGCACCGAGGCCCTTACACCCATCAGGGACTTCCCAAGAACATCCCTGCCTGGGGTGGGATGGCAGGAAGCCTGAGTTGGAAGAAGGGAAGGGGGTGAGGCAGTACGGGGGCCCACTCACCATCACCCAGGCCCCCTTTGGCCCAAGTGCCATCCTAGGGGTGCAGGAGGGGACGGAGCGCGGCCGGGATCCGGGTGCGAGTTATGAGTGGGTGGTGCGCAGCACTGGGATGACACCACAGGAAAGGGCTGGCCTTGGTGGGGAGGGGGGAGCGCCCCAGCTCAGCCAAGAGGGGCCCCCACCTAGCCAGGAGGGGGCGCTGGGAGGGGCTGGGCTGAGGCTGGCCCAGAAGGGGTGGGATGGAGTTCCCTGGCAGGCCCAGAGCCAGAGACTGGAATAGAACTGAAGGGGCGAACAGCAGTGGGGGGGGGGGGGCAAAAACATGAGGGTGTGGACAGATCCAATCAGACCTGGGAAGCCAGGGAGGAGGGAAGGGGGTGAGGTTTCCTGGATGCCTCAGATTGGACAAGGGAAACCAAGGGTCTGTAAGATTTTTCCAGGGCCTCAAGAAAACATGTCCAGATAGACCCCTTGGCGTTGGACCCAGAGCACTCAGCAGCTCTGCACCTGCTGGGCGGTGATCACAGAAACCTACCCTCCCGCCAGGAGGACCCAGCTGAACACTTAGGCAGGGCGTGCTCCCATCAGAGCTTGCACTGAATCCGGTACAGCACCCTCCCTGGGGGATTCCCCAAATAAGGCTTGGATGGTGTGGCCCTGTCCACAGTCACAGGCACTGAGTGGGGGTGGAGAGGAAGATAAGGGGCTAGACCTGGGAAGTCGGTCAGGCTGTTTCTCTGTTATTGAAAGGGGTGAGTCTCCCTTTCAAAAGGGTACAGAAAGGTCCCTGGGAAAGGTCCCAGGCAGCTGCTGAAAGGTGACCCCCTCTACTTATTTCTAGGGGACCCAATGTTTGAAAGTCTGTCAGGGACCATCCAATCATAAGGGCTCTCTCTGCTCTTGAACTCTTGAATCTGACTTCCCATTCCAAGGGACTCCCTGGATCTGTGAAAGCTTAGTCTGGGGGCACCCCATATACCCTAGGATCCCCGGGTCCCGTAGCAAGGAACAACCTCAATGCTGGGAATTCGGAGGCCGGTAGGTTCAATACGTGGAAGGAGAATGCCTTCCTCAGAAGCCCGGGAACTACTCGAACACAAGCACCCCCAATTCCGTAGGGGCCCTAACCTGGAGGGAAAGCGAACCCCGAGCAGCAGGAAATTGGGGATCACCACCCCGAAGTCACTCCAGGCTAAAGGGGCGGGGCGGGGCAGCCGGGGACTTGGGGAACCCTCCTCGCCCGCAGTCCGGTAGGATGGTGGGTGCGGCGGGCAAGTACCTCCAACCGCGCGGCCCGGGGCCTCCTCGGCTTGCCCCGTGCATCCCCCCCGGCTCGGGGGTCCCTGCAAGGATAGCCCCCCGCTTCCCATCATTCCTGCCCCGAACCCCAGTACCTGGCACGCTGTAGCCCCAGAGCCATGGCTCGCCGTTGTCGCTCCCGAGCCCTTCGAGGCCCCTAGCCCCCTCCCCTGGCCCTGCGAGCCCCCTCCCCAGCTCCGCCCCCCGCCGCGCCCGGCCCGCGGCTCCGGTTGGACGACGGGTGTGTCACTTCCAAGAAAGAGGCGGGACCAGGCGAGGACCTGAAACTCTCGGAGTGGGGGGATACCGCCGCATACACCGCCCCCCCCGCCACACCCCTAGCCGCGGACTTGCTCCGTAGTGTCGCCCGCAAGGTCCGCGGGCCGCGCCTCCTGGCCCAGCCTCTCTCGCCAAGTTCTGACACCAGCCCTCTCCCGAACCCACCGAGCTCACTCGACCCTGTTACCGCACCCTCTAACCCTCACCCGCAGCCCACCTCTTCATTTTCCCACCCCCGGTCGGGCCCCTCAGACCACCAGGCCCACCCCCTGCAAGTCGCCCAACTCTGCCTCCTCCATCCCCTCCTCCTTATCCACTGACAACTCCCGCTTCTCCCCACCCCCACCCCAGCGCTACATTCCGTCTCGGTCCGCAGCCCCTCTGCCCCCATCCCTGCAGCAAGTACCCCCACCTGACCCGGTCTTCCAGTCTGGCACCCTTTGTACCCCAGCCCTACTTCCTTGCCTCCCTAACTCCCTTTTCAAGTTCCCACCATTGAATGATTAAGTTTATGTCAAGTAAATATGTAAAACCCAAACACACCCATTTTCTAAAAGAGCAGAGAAATGGTATCTTTCTACTAGTGAAGTAAGAAGAGAGAGGTACAAGGTCACCAAGGAGTGGCTAAAGCATTAGGATTGGCTAGGGAACTGTGTGTGTGTGTGTGTGTGTGTGTGTGTGTGTGTGTGTGTGTGTGTGTAGGGCACGGTTTACTAACCCACAGGGGACAGGTATTCTAGATGCAGCTTTGGACAGGGAAAAGGATACTATAGCCAAAGTTTGTAGGATTTGCCCTCCCCAGCTTTGCCCTCACTCAGCTTTCTGGTGGGGAACCACTTCTTTCTGTTCTCCCTCTATTTAATTTGAATAGGGCTGGCCATAGCCCTCTGCTCACCAGCTCCAGGCACACAGGATCCAAACCTAGCCAATCAGTTTATTCTGTCTCCCTGATCACAGTGATTGGTTCAGGGAAGACATGTGACCTAACCTAAGCCAATGAAAACCAACCCTGAGACATTTGCTGCAACTAAAGAAAAAGGTTATTTCTGCCGGAGTTTCCCAGCTGGTAGGAGGTAAGCCCGTTACCAGGAAAGAAGAGACTTTAAGAGATCAAAGTCAATACAGAAGAAAGCAGAAATGAAAATCTGCGAAAGACACTCCTGACATCAGCACTTGGGTACTCGGATCCAGCCATACCTGAACTCCACTTTAATCTCAGAACAATTATGGGGGTTTTTTGGGCTGTTGCTATTTGTTGTTAAATATTACTTTATTCATTTACTTTGTGCTTAGATTAGTGTGAATTGATTTCAGCTGCTTTCACTCAAAAGAAAGAATCTTGATAAACAGAGAAAATATCTCACACGCTCTAGTGTGGAGGCAGTGGAGGACGAGAAAACTAAAGACCTAAATTAGAAAGGGCTTCAGGGGAAGCAGTGTCCTCCATGAGGAAGCAGGGGCTATGCAAGACATAGCAGAGAGTCAATGTGGGGATTTACAGCACCAGAGGAAAACTGGCACTTCTGAAACACACACTGCAACAGAATTTACAAATACGCATGGATACACCAAGCATCTATGGTCTAGGTTAGCATTAAGCTTCCCTCCGTGGTTCCTGGCAGCTAAGGCAAGAGGGGGAATGTGTTTGTTGAAATCGTTTTTATTTTTTGCTGAATGGATGTGTTGTTTGTTTCGAGAAACAAGATTTGTTCCTGAAACTCAACTTTAGCAGAGACCTTTTTGTTATTAAAAGGTAGAGTGATCTGAGTCACCAGGGACTGTGGGAGATCTGTGGAGTTGCCTCCCCTAGCCTCTCAAGAACAGGATAAGTAGCAGTGAGGAAGGTAAAGAAAGGGCTGGGGAAAACTATTCTGGACAGAGGGAAGAGAATATAACAATGTGGAGTGTTGGGACCGTGGGGGCACCTGAGTAGGAGACCACCTGCAACCTGGAGCATTAACGAGAAGAGGTGGGAGGTGATGGCGGGCTGGTGCATACAGGTGAGCCCCAAGCGGGTCTGAAAGGCATTAAAGAAGATAGGGCAATCTCCTGAGGGCACTAAGGAGCCATGGCAGTTTTAAGCAGGACAGAGACACCGTGGGTACCTTATAAAAATCCCTCTAGTTGCTCTGTGGAGAGTGGAGGCATGATGGAGTGAGACAGGAGGTCGGAGAAGAGGAAGGAGGCTGGGCATAATGAAGACCGGGGCCAGGGTGAAGGAGAGGAAATGGACTGAAGAGACGATGAGTTTCACATAGCAACACCTCACTATATCAGTATCAATCAACGGTGGCACACCCAGCAAGAGAAGGATGAACTACTGATAGACATCCAGCAGGGAAGAATTTCAAGATCCTTATGCTGAATGAAAGAAGCCAGACACAAAACTAAGTACACTATGTGATTTCAATTACATGAAGTTCCAGAATGGGCAAGGCTGATCGTGGGGGGTGGGGTGGGGTGGGGTGGTGGAGATCAGGACAGTGGTTCCTTATCTTGAAGGAGTTTGGGTTACAAAGGTATATGCGTTTGTCAAAACCCAGCAAATCGTACTCTTCAGATTTGTGCCTCTTGTTGTCTGTAAGTTTTACCTCAAAATAGAAAAATATGAAGGGCAAACTATTATTGATAGACAGGTAGAAGGACTCAGGGGATATGGTACTAAATATACAGGAGGAGCTGTTGCAGGCACTGGGACTACCGTGGTGAACAAGACAGGTCAAGATCCCTGACCTGCCTTCATGGAACTTACACTGTGTTTGGGCAGACAGACTATACACAGAAACGTAAGTGAAATATATAGTATGTTTTATTGTGACAAGTGCTATAGAGAGATGTAACCCAGAGAATGGAGGGCATAGTGATTTTTGGCAGTGAGAGCTATAATTTTAAACAGTTTGGTTATGGAAGAGCTTAATAAGAAGGTTTCATCTGAGCAAAGACTTGAAGATGAGGGGGGAACCCTGTGGATTTCTGGGAGAAGAGTGTGCTAAACAATGAGAACAGCAAGTGCAAAGGTCCTGAGGCTGGACTGGCCCGGTAAGTTCAGGGATCAGCAAAGAGGCCAGTGTGGCTAGAGCAGGGGGATGGATGGGGAGAGCAGGATATGAGGTCAGAAAAAGTGGTGTGGGGTCTGAGGTGGACAGTGGTGTGGAAGATCACGTAGGATGGGTTTTTAGGCTATGTGTGGACCTTGGCTTTCACTCTGAGGGAGATGGGAGCATGGGAGGCTTTTGAACAGGAACATGGCATCTGAGTTAGGTTTGAATGAAGTTCCTGTTCCCTTCAGGTGGAAAAGAATTGGAAGCTCTCACACTTACAACACAAACCACCCCACAGAGAGATTTATTTTGCTCATGAATTGCCATCTGACAGGGCTCAGTGCAGACAGCCCATCTCCACCCTACTTGGTATCAGCAGGGGCAGCCCAAAGAGGTGGGCTGGAATAATCTGCAGCTTCCCCACTCACTGGCCTGGCACTTGTTGCTGCTACCAGAGGGGACCTCACCTGTGGGCTGTGGCTGGGACATCTACATTCGACCTTTCCATGGGGTCGCTTGGACCTTCTCACATCATGGCAGCTGGGGCCAAGGGAGATGAAGAGGGAGCAAGGAAACAGGCAGGAGCTGTGTCTCTTTATGACCTGGATTTGGAAGCCATGCAGTGTCCCCTGCATGCCCCTTTCTCAAGTCAGTCCCAAGGTCCTGCCCAGCTTCCAGGGGAGGGAAGAGACTCCACTTACTGATGGGAAGGGGCCAGCTTGCACGGGGAAGAACAATGCAGAACTTGAAATATTCCTATGGCCGTTTGGGGGAATATCTGCCAAACTCCTCATACGACAGTATCTTGGAGCTCTGCCTAGAAGCAGCCCCACGGGGATGGAGTCTTGAACCTTGAGATACCGGAGAGGGACGGGGGATAGGGTCCCCGCAACTGTGCACACACCCAAATCTGGTAAGTCAGTATCTCTGGCCACTCTCTCCTGTACATCTGCTCATACATTTTATCCCTAGTGTTCACCTCCCTATGTTCACCCTCTCTACTGCCAGGGATGGGAAGGAGTTGCTCCAAACCGCCTTTTTTTTTTTTTTTAAGATATTATTTATTTATTTTTTGACAGAAAGAGAGCAAGCGCACAAGTAAGGGGAGCAGCAGGCAGGGGGAGAAGGAGAAGCAGGCTCCCTGCTAAGCAGAGAGCCCAATGCGCAGCTCAATCCCGGGACTCAGAGATCATGACCCAAGCCGAAGGTAGATGCTCAACTGACTGAGCCACCCAGTCGCCCCTTTTCCTAACCTCTTTACAGCTACCTCTTATGATCTGATTCTCTCTCCACTCTGCTTTCCCCAAGCTCTGACTCCTAATCACGTGGGTTTATAAAGGCCAGCTGGCATTCTTGGAAAACTGCCAGGGGCAGAAAATCCCTCCAGACTCAAGCCAGGACTAACCTGGAATTAGGTGATGGAAATAAACAGCATGGGCCATAAGTATCATGCAGGGCTCCTGTGCCGAGCACTGTACTAAGCCCTTCGCATTCCTGCTCTTACTAGAACATCACGGCAGCCCCATCAGGTATTTCCCTGTAGTGGAGACTTATTGAACCCAGCCTGCCTGCCTGGGTTCAAATCTTGGATCTCTTGCTTGTCAGCTGTGTGACTTGGGCTAGTTACTTCTCTGTGACACGTAGAGTTGTTTCTGAAAAAAATGGATTTGATTCAAAACCACACTGTTGCCCGGTGTAGATTAGATTATTGTCTCCTGAGCTCCAGTTCGTCCTTGTTACAGAACCGCACATCCCTGATTTCACTATGTGCCCGTGGAGGCCCTCCTGAGTAAATCACAGA